GGGGCGGGGCGGCCTCTCGCCGCGGGGCGGGACCAGACCACGCCGCGGGCCTGCGCCCCTGCCCCACTCCCTCGCAGCCGCCGCTGCAGCGCAGTCCCAGTCAGCACCCGCAGATGCCGGGCCAGCCACCCAGCCAGCCGGCGGGCTCGGGCTCGGGCAGAGACGAGGAGAGGCGCGCGGGGAGGGGCGACCAGGGACCAGGCCCGCAGCATCGCGGGTGCAGGAGGTGGCGGCGCGAGGTCGGCTGCGGGACCCCCGGGTTCTGACGCCTCTCCGCGTCGGGCCTCCAGAGCGCCCCTCTTCTCCACTCCGGGTCTAGTCCTCCCGCCCTAGCCCCCCAGGATAAAGCTTGCAGCGCTTCCTGCCGCACAGCACCCCCGGCCGAGCGCCGGGAAGATGCTGGCCCTTTAATCTCGCTCCCCACCCGCGCCTCTTCCGACAGCTGGCAGCCGGCGAGCCCCGGGGGGCCTCCGGGGGTGGGGGCGGTGACGAGCAGCTGCGCCCCCAGGTACCCGGCGCCGGGACTCTCGGCGCCCGCAGCGCGGTTAATCATTAACCTCCCAGGTCCCGGGGACAGAACCGCTCGCTCCGCGCCGGGCAGCCGGGCCCGCGCCCCCTGCAGGTGGCGACCCGCGGGCACCATGCCCGGCCTCTACTGCCCCTCCAGCTGGACGCCGCTGCCGCTCACCGACTCCTGCGTGCGGGCCTGCGCCAACGGCCCCTGCCTCAGCCTGCGGGCGCGACTCACCTACCGCAACCCGCAGCCGCAGCCGGTGGACGGTGAGGCCAGGCATGGACGCGGGAGGCCCCCGCCGCCTCCCGGCCGCCCGCCCACCCCCATCAACTCGACCTCCTCCCGCAGGCGTCTTCGTGTACCCTCTCGCCGAAGCCGAGGTAGTGTCGGGCTTCGAGGCCGAGGCGGCCGGACGGCGCGTGTCCTTCCAACTGCAGAGCCGGCGCCGCTCTCAGGCCGCCTGCTGCCGCGCGCTGGGTCCCGGGTCGGGGGCGTCCACGCCCCGCCGCTGCGCGCAGGGTGAGTCCGGGGCACGCCCAGCCCCTCCGCTCCTCCAGGCCCTGTGTTCTCATCCATCCATCGCACCCGCACCCAACACCCTGGCGGACTCCGGGCAGCGGGGAGGTGGCCCTGGCAGCATAAAACTTGGTGGCAGCACAGGCCCGTATTGCCCTGGGGACCACAGTCTTTCCAAGGTGTGAAGGGAGTGCTCCTGTCCCCAAAGCCGGACCCATTTTCTGTTCCCCAGCTCCTTCCACATCGGGTGCCACAGCGCTGGCACCAGAGCAGGACCCATCTCGCCTCCCCGCTGTCTTCCCAGGACGTTTGGATTTTTGCTTTAAGATGCACGCAGGTGTCACTCTTACTCTGGGAAGGAAACCCTCCCTTACTCTGCCCCAAATAACGAATGCATCCTCCCTTGCTCCCAGCCATTTCCGCCACTTCATTGCAGCACTTCCTAGGGGGAGTTGTTGTCACCCGTCAGCACGTCTGTTTCTTCCTCTGAAGCCTTAGCTCCTGATCTCAGGACAGCTTTGGTTACCTCTGAGACCCAGCTCCTCACGCAGAACCTGGCACGAAGGGGCCCAGTGGGGAGGAGATGGGTGCTGCACCCAGAGCGGGTTCTGTGGCTGCGCTGCATCCCTTCTCCTCTTCATTCATTTGCCATGTTCCTCCTGACCTGGTGTTGACCATCCCATGTGCTGAGAGTTGGCAGAAGCCCCACTGGTAGTGAGAGACGAGAAGGAGCTCTGGGCTCAGGCCCCAGGAATGTTTCTGAAGCGTGGAGGAGGAGAAGGGAAGACCTTGGTGGAGTGGAGGGAAAGTTGGCTAAGTAGGTCATTCTCATGGGTATGGTGATTTAACCTTTGCAAAGCCCAGGGACTGCTGTCACCTGTGGTGAATCTGGGCGAGGTATGAGGTATGCCAGTTGGTGCCTTCCCAGTTTAGTGATGAGAATATCAGCCACTCATTTACATATTCAATACTTTGTATACATTCTGCCATTTAAAGCTCACCGCAGTCTCTGAGGAATAGTTATCATGTTCCCATTTTACAGATGGGGAAACTGATTCTCCTAAGAAGGTTGCTGAAGGGCACAATTAGAAATAACAAAGCTGAGCTTCACAGCCTGATGCTGTGTTCTCTCCATTGCATCTTGCCTCTGCTGGCTGGGAGGAAGCCCCTTTGCTTCTTACTTATGCCCTTCCTTTTCTTCCCTTCAGCAAGTAGTCCTCAAAAGGATGAGCCAGTGCTTCTTGTGGGGAGGTGTGGTAAGGCAGGAGTAGTAGAAAACTGGGCTAGGCCCAGATGACTCCTGCTCCTTAAATGAACCTGGAATCTGAGTAAAAGGGGTGCTTGATTGAAGATATTTTATGCAGAAGTGCGGCACTCTTATCCTGCTTCCCTGCAGCCACTGTTCCTCCCAGTACAAAGCCCTGGAGGTGCCCTGGTGGCACTGGGAGCCCTTCATGTTCATGAGAAGGGAATTTGAGCATAGTGGTCTCGGCTAGAGGGGTAGGTCTACTCACAGGAGCCATCTTCTAAGATTCTGGTGCCCAGAAGGCTGAGCCAGGCAGGGAAGAAGAGGCAGAGGGTGTGGGTCCCCCAGGACCCTGGAAAGATGGATATGTCCCCTTCTCAGCCCTCCTGGCAGCAGTGTCACCATCCCTTGCTGATGGTAGCTGGGTCCCTCTATTTTTTTTAAATTTTTTTTTATTTATTTGAGAGAGAGAGAGAGAGAGAGAGAGAGAGAGAGAGAGAGAGAGAGAGTGGTGTGTGTGTGTGGCCAGCTCAGCCCACCAGGGGGCGGGGCTGGCTGGCATGTGGTGCTGGGGGATTGAACCGCGGTCCCTGATGCTTTGCTAAGCTAGTTCCAAGTAGGTGCTTTGGACCACTGAGCCATCTCTCCAGCCCCTGGGTCCCTCTACCATCACATGCTTTGCCCACCATCCTTCATCTCATGTCTCCCTCCCCAACTGCACCTGCTTCTCTTCTTTGCCTTCCCTGTCCCCTCTGCTTGTTCCTCCTCTCAGTCCCTGTCTTACCCATCACAGGTCATCTTGTCTTGGATCTGGCCCAGGCCCGGTCCACACTGGTGCTGCCCACAGGCCTTATCGCCGCAGCTGGCACCATGACAGTGACCCTGAGCAGCAGCCGGGAGCTCCCCTCCAGGCCTGATGGGGTGCTACGTGTGGCGCTGCCCACTGTGCTCACCCCATTGGCCTCAGCAGGCCCGCCAGGGCCCCCCAGGCCTCCGGGGCTCTGTGACGACAGGTTGGGCCTATGGTGATTCTCTCCGTCCCTCCCTCGGCTTCTCTGGGTCTAGTGCGGGTGAGGGGGCTTCAGCGGGATGCCCCAGGTCTGGACGGGGTGAGGGAGGGAGCCAGTCAGCCGTCAGGCCTGGGGGCCTCGGGAGTGACCCTTCTTGTCCCTTCCAGCCCCACCAACTGCTTCGGGGTGGGCAGCCCTCAAGAGGATGGGCCAACCTTTGTGGAGCCGACTGCCCCTCCAGATGTGTTCTCAGGCCCTGCCCGCTGCCCTGCCCCCTATACCTTCTCCTTCGAGATGTTGGTGACCGGTCCCTGCCTGCTGGCAGGTGGGTGGGTCTGGCCAGGCAGCAGTCGAAAATAATTGAAGCTCAGGGATGGACAGAGGACCAAAAGAAGAGGGGGACCGAATGCAGGCCATACTGTCATCAGTGTCATTTGTTTATATATATTCCCCACTGCGATGAAGCAGATACATAGAAAAAGACTTTCTTTGTGCAAGAGGCGGGCAGAATGCCCATTGGCTGATGTGTAACTCAGTGACCAGCCAGAACACAGCTGGAAACGCAGGTCCCAGCCCAGGAAAATACAGATCCTCCCTCTTCTATCTGAGCTACAAATCAGAAGCAGAGCTGAGCCACTCAACCAGGACTCCTGTGCCCTTCCCACAGCAGGGGGAGGAAATGTCTGCGTTCTTAGGGCTGGCCTGGAGCAAAGTGACCATCACCTGTCCCTGCCTCTCTGTTCTATAGGCCTGGAGAGCCCCTCACATGCCCTGCGGGCAGATGCTCCACCTCATGCCAGCTCTGCAGCCACCATCTGTGTCACGCTGGCTGAGGGACACCCATGTGATAGGCCCTTGGAGATCCTGCTGCACCCCAGTGGTGAGAGTCTGGGCCATGCAGTGGGTAGAAAATATTTGTTCATGGAGCTTTCTGGGTCCCAGGTCAGGGAGGCTGAGTCTTCTGTGAGGACAGGCCCATGGTGCAGTGGCTCTTAAGGCAGAGGAGCTGAGCTGGTCACAATAGCACATGCCTATAATCATAGCACGCTGGGAGGCTGAGGGCAGGAGGATCACAAGTTCAAGCCCAACTTGGGCAACCTGGCAACTTGATGAGGCCTTGTTTCAAAATGTAAGAAATAAGGGGTGGGGATACAGTGCAGTGCGAAGGCTCTGGGTCGGTTCCCAGCTCTGAGCAGCACTAGGCAGTGGGCCCTGTTTCCTCATGGAGCTGTCTGCACCCACGCCCCTCAGAGCCGCACCAGCCACACTTGATGTTGGAGGCCGGCAGCCTGAGCTCCACAGAATATGAAGCCCAGGTGAGGGCCCGCCGGGATTTCCAGAGGCTGCAGCAACGGGACAGTGATGGGGACCAGCAGGTAGGGCTCAGAACCGCAGCCTGGCCTCTGTGCTCCCAGCTGGTGGCGGTTGTATTGTGTGAAGGACAGGCTCCTGTTGGGGTGGGCAGGGCCTCTTTTCTCAAAAGATCTCTCCTAGCTGCCACTGCTGGTACACCCCAGAAGGCAGATGGATGTTGTCTCAGAGGGCCTGTGTGTGTCCCTCTGGGATAACTGGGAGGACAGAGGTTTGACTTAAGCAGGGGACAGCCTCCCTCCTGCCCCTGCCTTCACCTGGACCACTGCAAAGGTGCCCTTTTGGGAGAACTGAACAGAAAGGGGCCCCAGGGCCATGTCCCTCTGCCGGCCTAGACTGAGCTGCAGGAAGCTCCCCCGGGCTGACCCGGTGCTCCCCGCCCAGGTATGGTTCCTGCAGCGCCGATTCCACAAGGATATCCTGCTAAACCCTGTGCTGGTGCTGAGCTTCTGCCCGGACCTGAGCTCTGGCCCTGGACACCTGGGCACAGCTACTCGGGAGCTGCTCTTCCTGGTGGATGGCAGCAGTGCGGCTCACAAGGCCCGTGGGGCTCCCTGGGCGTGGGGGGGGGGCGCTGGGTCAGAGGTGAGGTAGGGCAGCCTTGAGCAGTCTTCCATGTTCATTAGGACACCATCCTTCCACAGGCACAGTCAGCCGTTCTTTTCTCACACACTCACATGTTGTCGCCCCCAGAGTCCAAGGGCTGCTCGGAACCCAATCAGAGCCCAGGTTCACCCCCACCACAGTCTCCCGCCCACACGCTTCCTGGCGCCCCATTTTAGCCCAGCAATCAGCTGTCTTCTCCCCTCTTCCAGGATGCCATTGTGCTGGCCGTGAAGTCCCTCCCACCTCAGACACTTGTCAACCTGACCGTGTTTGGGACATCCGTGCAGCCGCTCTTCCCTGAGAGCCGGCCCTGCAGCGATGTGAGTGTGGCTTGGGTTGGGGGCCTCTTGGGGTCCTCTCAATACAGCCCTGCCCTGCCCAGCCCCTGCGTCTTCTTCAGGACACCGTGCGGCTGATCTGTGAGAGCACTGAGACCCTGCAGGCAGTGCATGGTCCCCCAGATGTGCTGGCTGCGTTAGACTGGGCCCTGGGGCAGCCCCAGCACAGGGCCCACCCTCGGCAGCTCTTCCTGCTCACCGCCGCTGCACCTGGAGCTGGCACCACCCACCAAGCCCTGGAGCTCATGAGGTGGCACCGGGGGGCAGCCAGGTACAAAGTGGGCAGAGCTGGGCGCCTAGGCCTGAGCCTGCTGGGGCACTTGGTGAGCTCACCGCTGTCTGCACTGTGCCTCAGGTGCTTCTCTTTTGGGCTGGGAGCCGCCTGCCGCCAGCTGCTCCGGGGATTGGCCATGCTCAGCAGGGGCACGGCCCACTTCCTGCGGCCAGGGGAGAGGCTGCAACCTGCGGTGAGTGGGCGCTGGACCCATGCTCGGCTCTGGAAGTCGTCCCAAGTCCCACCCGGAACTGAAACGGGCCCCGTGGGGCTGGGGCTCTGGACAGCTCCCAAGGGCTTCCCCCTCCTCGGGCCCCTCCCACTCTCCCCAAGATGTAGAGCAGGGTAAGGACTCGAGGTGCTGTGTAAGGTGCTAAGTGTGAGGACAGCCTGTGACCACCCCCAAATCTGAACCTTGTCCTCAGAAGTCTTGTCCCATCCAAGGGGCTAAGCTCAGCCCAGGAAACAGACTGACCTGGAGAACCAAGCGCTAAGCATACTCCACCGAGCTTTACCCTCATCCCCCATCCGGACCTTTGCGCTGAGCTACATTTCCAGTCCAGTTTTTTCCCCCCGGGGGAACCGGGGATTGAACTCCAGTTTTTGTTTTTGACACAGAATCTCACTAAATTGCTTGGACTGATCTTGAACCGATTCAAGCCCCCCAGAGCCTGCCTTCTCTTGATCCCAGCCCTGTTTCCCTTGTCAGTCCAGGGCTGAGCAGACACCCTCCCTCGGAGAAGAGCTGGCTGTGACACCCAATCTCTCTGTGTCCCCCCTCTGGCCACTCGCCCCAGATGGTGCAGGCTTTGCGGAAGGCCCTAGAGCCGGCTCTCAGTGACATCTCTGTGGACTGGTTTGTGCCTGATGCTGTGGAGGCTCTGCTCACGCCGCGGGAGATCCCAGCTCTGTACCCTGGGGACCAGCTGCTCGGCTACTGTTCGCTGTTCAAGGTGGATGGCTTCCGGACCCGCCCTCTGGGGGTACGCCAAGCCAGGGCTTCAGTCTACAGCTTCAGCACCCTCCTTTCTTCTCCACACTCTCTCGCAGAACTCCTTTATTAACCTCTAGGAGCCCACAGATTTGTACTCAGAATCCTGGAGCAACGCATGCTGCCCCTCTCCTTGGGTTTGCAAGGAGCTGTCCTGTAGGGTGTTGCCCTTGTTTCTCGTGGAAGCTTTTGGCTGTCAAACAGCTCCAGCATTTGCTGTGGTGCTTTTGCCAAAAGGGTTGCTCACTCTTCCCACAGTGTCTGACAGAAAGCACCGTCTGACACATTCTCTGTTACAATGACATGGAAAAGCTGTGTTTACCTAGAGGAACTAAGCATGCGTTCCCTCTTTTTATTATGAGAGTCATATAATAGATTGCCTTTTTACCTGGCTGCCAGGTAGCTTGGGCCAACCCAAGCTCACTGCACAAGCAGTTCTGCTAACCTTTATGGCTAACACATTTGTTTCCTCCTTCCCTAGCACCGGTCTTCTGCTTCTGTTTTATTAGCTTCATTACTTCCACCATGAGGTCCTGTTTGGAGCTTGGTAGTGCATAGCTACCTTCATTTTTTCTCAGAGCTGTTCCTCCTAGGGTCAAGAGCCTGGCTGGCAGAGCTGCGGTGGCTCGGTGTTCCCATCCCCAGAGGAGGTGCCATCTGCCACCAGCCCTGGCACTGAGCCCACTGGGACCTCCGAGCCATCAGGAACAGGCACTGTGTCTGCAGAGCTGTCCTGCCTGTGGGCTGCTGGGGACTCGAAGCCCAGTGAGTGCCTGGAAACATGTGGGCTAGCTGGAGAGGGCTTGGGGGGGGCAGGCTGAGGCCCATTCTCCTGCCCCCCAACAGGCACAGACGCTCTGACAGACCCAGTCACAGACCCGGGACCCAACCCCTCCTCTGATACAGCCATATGGCGCCGCATCTTCCAGTCCTCCTACATCCGGGAGCAGTATGTGCTCACTCACTGCTCCGCCAGCCCTGAGCCAGGCCCAGGCTCCACCGGGAGCAGCGAATCCCCGGGCTCCCAGGGCCCCGGCTCTCCAGAGGGCACGTTTCCTCTGGATCCCCCTTCTCAGCAGGGCTGCCGCAACCTGGCCTGCGGGGAACCTGCAGGCTCCCGATCCTGCCCCCTGCCCGTACCCCCACAAGCTCCATTCAAGGTGAGATTCAGCCGACATGTAGCCATCAAGTAGCGGGTAGATTTATTACCACCTGCTATGTGCCGGATATGGCGTAATGCTGGCTATTCAGTCTAGATAGGTGATAGATTGATCTCCAGTCTTTACACGATATAACAACCAGTGATGAACACCGGACATAGTGCTAGGGGAGTCCAGAACCAGGATAGCTAACTGTGGAACAGGGAAAAGACTAAATAGAAGCTAGGTAGGGAAAAAGGAGAAGACATAAGCAAAAACATAGAGACAAGCAACACTCTTAAGGGGGAGAAGTGCTGCCATGAGATCACATGACCATGTAGCCAGCTGTGTGGGGGTCAATGATGACCAGGAGCTCTGCATTCCTTGACCAGTGACCCCACTTCTCCTGAGCAGGCAGGAGCCCTGAGTGCTGAGGTGCTGGGCCGTCGGCACAGAGCAGCCCTGGCTGGTCGAAGTCTCTCGTCCCCCACAGGTCGGGCAAACTACATGCCTGGCCAACCTCAGCATCCATCTCTGGGTGCAGTGCCAGATGGGGCTGGCCCAGAGCCAGGCCAACAGCTGGGTCAGGGCCTGGATGACTCAGGTAAGGGTGGGGAGAGGCGATGGCGTCCCTGACACCAAGGAGCCTTGGCGCCTAGGCACTGCATTGCCCTTACCCCAGCCCTCTTCTTTCCACAGGAAACCTTCTTTCCCCTGTCCCCATGGACTGGGACATGTTGATGGAGCCACCCTTCTTGTTTACGGCTGTGCCCCCCTGTGAGGAGTCAGTCCCTCTGGCCCCGGCCAAGGCTGAGCAGCTGCCCCCTGAGCCTCCCCGGTGCCATGTGGTGATCCAGGGCCTGTGTGGGGAGCAGCCTGTGTGCTGGGAGGTGGGCATTGGGCTTGAGACACTGTGGGGGCCTGGGGATGGCTTGTGGCCTCTGTCGCACCCTGGAAGAGAAGCTGCCTGGGACCAAGCCCTCCACCGGCTGACAGCAGCCTCTGTGGTTCGGGACAATGAACAGCTGGCTCTCCGAGGAGGGGCTGACACTGCAGCTGACCGGGGTGAGTTGCTAGTGGGCTGAGTCAGGGCCCACAGGTATGGGACAGAGTGGCTGAGGTTTATAGGTGTCTGGGTTGCATCACTCTCTGTTCCCCATTTTGTTTACAAATGATTTGAGATGGCTCAACACATAGATAAAAAAATTAAGCCAGTCATGGTGATGAACACCTGTGTTCTCAGCTTCCTGGGAGGCTGAGGGGGGAGGATCATAAGTTTTGAGGCCAGGCTTGGGAATCTTAGACCCTGTCTCAATAAAAAAGGCTGGGGGGCTGGGGAGATGGCTCAGTGGAATAAGTGCCTCTCTGGCAAGTTCAAGGGCCTGAGTTCAATCCCCAGTTCTACCAAAAAAAAAAAAAAAAAAACCCACAAATAAATAAAATAACTGGGAAAGAGCCGGCAAGATAGCTCAGCAGACTAAGCACCTACTTAGGCAAGCGCAGGGACTAGGGTGTGATCCCTGGTACCACATGGCACACTAAGCCAGCCACTGAGACCAGGTATGGTGGGTCACGCCTGTAATCCCAGCACTGGGGAGGCTGAAAATAGGAGGATCACTACGAGTCCTATCTGTATAGTGAGACCTTGTACCAAATACATTAAAAATAAAAAGCTGAGAGTTGGGTGTGGTGGCACACACTTGTAATCCTGGCCCTCAGGAGGCTGAGGCAGGAGTTTGAGGCCATCCTGGGCTACATAGTGAGTTCAAAGCCAGCATGCACCACCATACTGACACCAGTGACACCATGCCTCAAAATACTAAAAACAAACAAAAAAGAGGCTGGGAATGTAGTTTAGCACAAGGTCCTGAGTTCAATTCCAATATGGTGTACGTGCACACATACAAACAAAACTTCAGTCCCTGAGTTGCACCAGGTACACTTGAAGTGTCCAGTAGTCACATGACTACTGGCTATCACACTGGTTCACAGACATGGCACATTTCCATGCACACAGGAAGTTCTATCAGAAGTACCAGAAAGAATGGAATAAAAAGAACCGTGCAATGTTCTGTTCTTTTTTTTTTTTTTGTTCTGTTCTTTTTAAAATATATTTAGTACAGTGTCTCACTACACAGATCAGACTCCTAGTGATCCTCCTGTTTTCAGCCTCCCAAGTGCTGGGATTACATGCATGCTACACCACACCCAGTCTCAATTGCCATCTCAGCGTGCCCCAGCGGTGGGGCTGGATAGAACCCCTGTC